AGGCAAACGGCAGGGGCGAAGCTGGGGGTGGCAGGACGGGCACTCCGAGTGCTCGGGGCGGGGTGCGACGACGGGCGTGGGGGAGAACGCTACGCCGAGTGCGACCGCATTGGCGGCTCGCACTCGGGGATGGGCAGACGGCAGAGGTGGGAGCTGCACCGAGCGAGACCGCGTTGGCGGCTCTCCCTCGGACAGGGGCAGCGGGTGGAAGCTGAGGACGGCGGAGCGGGCACTGCAAGTGTCGGAGCGAGATGCGACGGCGGAGACTTGCGAGACGTGCGCACTTGCAAGCGCGGTGCCAGGCGCACTCTTGCCAGCGCGGATGGTCGTCACGTGATGGGCTCATTCGCGTTGAATCTCCTAAGTCCGTGTTGGCTACTGTATCTCTATGTCATAGCAATCCCAAAGTATATAGAGATACATTTCAGTTCATGAGGCTGTCAATAGTAAATGAATAGGACATTAGAGAGATTAACCACATGAGACTAAACCATTATAATAGTGTTTCCTAGCCATCACCTCAGTGATCTACAGGGTACATAACTATGTTGTTGGCTACAGAGATATCTGGCTTTTCAGATGTACATGCAGGATGTGTATATAAGCTAGGGGTAGATGGGATGAGCTGATATCACAGAGGGAGCCATGCAAGGATGAGGTGTCAGCAGTCAAGTACCAAACCCCAACTCCAATACTCACACCTAGATATAGTCTCTAACTTCTCCTTGTACATGGACCAGCGCTAATATGATTGACACTGCAACAACCTTCTATGTCAATGGTTTCAAGCCCCCTTGTACCTACTCTCTAAATGGTCAGTCATCTGGCATGATTTAACAGTTTTATGTGATTTTTTGGCCTTTTTGTGAAATTTTAATAGAATATAGTCATATTATGAACTATGTATTCCTATATGTAGAAATTTGCCAGAGGGGGCATTTCCTGATGGACTACGTCACTACGGTGACAAACACGCGAGACTCGTTGCATCCGCTCCCGCGAAGGCGATTACGGCGAACGTTCTATGTAACCCTTCTGTCACACTGCCCACCGACCCAATGCCTGTATCAAAACACCACCGTCTCTGAAACGTATGACGAGCCTCGCGGTAGCGATCGAAATGCCCCAGCGTTGCCTGCGGCGGCATGTGCGCGTCAGCGTCTTTTGTCCGTCAACGTTGCCCCATGGGCCCGCGCCTCGATCCCCTAAGCATTAACGATGAATTCGAAGTGCTACGACTGGTGACGCTACGCAGGATAGCGCTGCGTTGACTTCCTGTTGCGCCAGACTAGCGTCCTCCTCACTGCTCATGCGCGCATCTCCAAAGATAGATCTTAGGCGGTTCGTTTCTTCCTCACATCCTGGGGACCCCTGCCGACGATGGATGGCGGCGTCAAGTGTCACCGCCGGATCACAGCGCAACTTACTACTGTCCCCTGCCTTACCCTTTCGAGGGAATGTCTGTCGTCTGCAGATACAGGGGTCGGGCTGGCCTCTACTCTAATCCTGTCCGTACACGTGAACGACACGAGGTTAGCTTCTTGGCGCCCACATCATCTCCGTATTGCCGCCCCTCATCGATCCTCTCCCTCCCTCCCTCTCTCTCTCTCTCATACTGGCTAGCGGCTTCAGGTAGCACAAGCAGGTATTCATCTTACGACGCCTTCAATTTTCGGATGAGATGGAATCGGATGCGACGTGAGTGGGGGACCTGAGCTGATCCGAGCAACGTATTGACGTTACCAGTCCCGCTGAAACGGTTCAGATCGGTGCGTTTCATTGTAATCTGTGTTGTGTTGAGGACGTAGGTTAATGTCCATTGGTAACGTAGATCTTGACGAAGAGACTTGGGCTGTGTTGCTCCAAACACCTATACCCCAAGAACCCGCCGTACAGTTGCTCCCGACCAAACCTAGCATACACGCTGCCAATGCATCAACTCTCATCGACTACCTTCACCACGTTCGTAGCTATGTTCCGTTCCCAAAATCATAATCATAACTCTGCCCCTCGTAGGTCATGATGTTCTTCAGCTCTGGAGAATACCGAAGTGATGCCACCCGCAAAGCCATCAGTCGCCTCATACTGAGGCTAGTGCAGCAAACGAACATGCTTCCTTCGGGGCTTTTCGTCAATGGCGTCCAATTGTATTCTCGGGATGCCGTCGATGCCGGGGGTTTTGGGGATATATTCCAAGGGTCATACCATGGACAAGAGGTCGCATTAAAACGTTTCCGCATCTTTTCCCGCGACCGCGTGATCATCCACCGGGTATGTCAGCAAAGTCCACACGACTATGAAGCTAATGAACCGTATCAACAGAGAATTTACCGCGAGCTTCTCCTGTGGCAAACCTTGAACCACCCCAACGTATTGCCGTTCATAGGTGTTGATGCGTCATCGTTCGAGAGCATGATTTGTGCGGTTTCCCCTTGGATGCATGGCGGAAGTTTGTCAAATTATAGGGCACGATTCGAACCCACCCCATCGGATATCAATGCTCTGGTACGTCATTCATGCACCACATGTGGCAGTGTGGCGTTTTCTTATAGTATTCTGTAGCTATTAGAAGCTGCGCTCGGCATGGACTACCTGCACTCCTTGTCAATAGTTCACGGAGACCTCCGATGTGTACGTCCCAATACGGCTATCCTGATGTCATGACCTAAAGCACGACCAGACCAATATTCTCGTAGACAGGGACGGTCATGCTAAGCTCGCCGATTTCGGCCTGTCAGTGATCATCATCGGCGAAATGGGTACTGCCACCACAAGCAATGGCTCCTATCGCTGGGCTGCACCTGAACTGTTCGCTACGGGAGATGTTCACAGGACTGTGCAAAGTGATGTCTACGCGTTTGGTTGCGTCTGTCTGGAGGTTCGCAATTCACGTCTACCAGATTTTCAGGTGATAAACAATACTTCTCTCTCAGGCGCATACTGGATTGCCCCCATTTGCCGAGATTGCTAATGAATTCAAGGTTGTTCTACAATTAACGAGTGGCGCCCGACCTTGTAGGCCGGATTACAATCAAAGCCGTCTAGTCTCGGAGCACTTGTGGACGCTTGTGGAACGTTGCTGGAACGTCAAAGCCGACCTCCGCCCAGCTTCCGTCGTGGTCGTCGAAGAGTTGCGGCATATACTGGTATCCAGCATAGAGCTTGAAGACGGTGCCTCAGTCACGACTGTTTCACGGGTTGGTCCCATGTCCCACCAATCCTCCTTCAGGTCCAGCCCATCCCTTACCACAACCTTTTCCGCGTCACAGAAACACCTCGAACAGTTCAACGACACCACTGCTTCCAATGAAGCCGTCGATCCCCATAACCTCATCCCCACGATGCAACCTGACACAGAAGCGGAGAACAGGCATTTCAATTGGCCAGATTCGGAAGGACAGATCGCTAACCGCCAGGACATGCAGCCAGCGGATGCTGTAGCCCTGCTGGCCGAGCTGCGGCACATGGGTATGTGGCCGTATACTGTCGGTAAATCTCCTCACGACTTTGCGGTAGTTTTTCAAATCGGGCACAAGACGTCTGATATGCTCGTAGCTCTGTGTTCCGCTGTCCCGGAGTTGACTGCGTCTCTCGTCGTCGATCTTTTTGTTCTTCACTCCGGTAATGCCCGCTCGCTTCTTGAAAACTTTATGGAGGAACTCCTGAGAGTACGGTGCAGCCACCAAAATTCATACCCCAAACTAACCATGCCTTACAATCAACCTTCAGAGTTTCCGCACGACTACCACCGAGATGAAGCTCCCGGACTCGACACGCGACATTGTGTCCAGGGCGCTCGTCGAGTTGACTATACGCTTCGATACTTTTCCGCAGAGCCTTTTGATAACAGGCGTAAAATTCGATCTTGACAAGTGTCATGATACCGGATCGTTTTCGGACTCTTACAAGGGAACATACAAGGGATTGACAGTAGCGATTAAACGTATGCGTCACGGCATACTTGGTCAAAATCCGGTTAGATTGAAAAAGGCAAGTTCGAGCACCGTTGTCGCCGTTCGCCTCCCTTGATTACACCGCATGGTTTCCAATTAGCGCTTTTTTCGGGAGATTTTCGTGTGGCAATCTTTGTCACACGAGAATGTGCTACCATTCTTAGGCGTCGATCGTCAACTCTTCCCTGAAGAACTCTGCACGGTGTCTCCGTGGATGTCCAACGGAGATCTGTGTGAATACATACGCAATCACGCTCTGGATCCCTCGGTGGTCAACCAACTGGTGCGCTGTACTGTGCGCTCTGCATTGTGATTTCTGGCTCATACGACCCGTCAGCTGTTCGACTGTGCCACTGGCCTGCAATACTTACATTCTTGCGATGTCATACACGGTGATTTGCGTGCCGTGAGTACCGCCTCCTGGCCTCTGTGACCATGGCATAAAGCAAGAGCTTTTACCTCATCTCAGAGCAACGTGCTCATCGCGCCCAATGGGCGGGCGCTCCTGACGGACTTCAGCCTGTCACATGTTGTCGCGGAGGCGGGTGTGGTGCTCACCTCCGAGTCCGCGTACAGTTTTATTCGATGGAACGCACCGGAGTACTTCAGGGAGGGGGTTTTAGTTAAGACGAGCATGGGTGATGTATACTCGTTCGGGTGCGTATGCCTCGAGGTGAGTAAACTCTCGCTCGACTTTCATCAGTGGAAGCATGACTGGACTCGTCGTCAGGCGTACACGCTTAACCATCCCTTCCCGGAAACCCGAAACAAAGCACGGGTCTTATGGCTAGTTCTCCAGGGCGTGAAGCCGGGGAGCGATGTCAGGGACAATCCGGAGCGTTTTGGAATATCTGCCCAGCTTTGGTCCTTGATGGAGGAATGCTGGGACGCCGACCCCTCCCAGCGGCCCACCGCTGAAGACCTGGTGGAGTCACTGCGAGGCGTGACACGGTCTCCCCCCAAAGTTGGCGACGTCGAGGAGTCTGAAGGGGCAAACCAATCCTTACAAGATAGAACCCGCACATGATGTTGATACTGGAAGCCCTCGTTTGCACCTCGATCTTGACTGTGCTTGTAGAGCGGTGATGATCAAGAATGAGAATATATGTGCCATACCTTGTTCCGTATCAATGCAGTATCTTATCCACTCGGGAACCCTCGGGCGGGCTGTCTGTGACCTTCCCAACATATCCAGTCCGGGCACTTCTGCTTTTGCTGCATATATGCTACTCAGCCGCAGGGATAGATGCATTACAGGTATGTCGCCTGCATTCGCCGTGTCAATCGTCTAACTTGGTTTGGAATAGGTATTATACTGGGAATCTTCTGCGAATGCTCGGCTGCAAGGAACCGTCGTGAGCATGCGCGACTGTTTGTCGTTTTGTTGGCTCTACTGATCGTACGCCCATAGGTCGCGGACTGTATCACATTTCGCGCTCATCGTGCTCCTCGTGACACTGCAGCCAGTAGACTCGTTTCGGCTGGCTGGTGGTTGAGTATATGCAGTAGTGTACATGAGCTGCTATGTATGTATGTAGTAGTTTGGGAATAGAGTGATATCTAAGCAACGTTGCCAGATGGAGCGGAAGGGAGCTCTTAGTTCCATCTGACTGCGCACATCGGAGCGCTGGTAACATTCCTATCATCTCCCTTCCGCGCCGTCCAGCTCTGGCGGACTTTTGACCGGGCGCGTCGACGTTCTCAGTCATTTATCCGGATGGACTCTGGATTCCGGGTTCATATACATACGAGCCACTCTAATTATCGCTCGGAGATGTGGCGCAATGCCGTGCACGGAGATCTGTCCGGGCGGCTGTTGGCAACACTGGGATCCGGGGGGCGCGTGACGAGGGCTTGATCTGCTGATGTAGATCGTGCGCGGTTGGCTATAGTCGTCTATGGCGGTGAGACGTGGGGAGATGCGCTGAGACGCTCAGCAGCCATCGTAGATGCAGGCCGTCGAAAGAGGAGTCGCAGATGCCTGGGGACGAAAGGAGTCGCGGAGGACGAGTGGGGTCCGAGAAAGAGCACGGAAGAAGCGCTCAACGTGGGGCGTTCCTGATTTCATCAGTTCATCGGGTGGGCCCAGATCATACCACGTGCGGGCCGTCGGCGTCCGCGGTCGGCTCGGGCTGTCCAGTCGTCCCAGGGGCGGAGGACGACGATGGGAGGGCCGGCCGTATTTTGGTGATATTATCGCTGGAGGCGCTGCCTTATCTTCGTTACTCTGCGAGTAGCCGCACGCACCCGCTGGACGTTTACCTCCTTCGTTTTACCGTTCGCCGTCCCTTGCTGGTCGAGAGTTGTTGTAGAAGAAAGATCTGTGTCGCGTTCCGCTTGATGTGCTTTGCCTAGAGTCGCAACAGGATTCCCACGGAGCCGACGACGCCCAGCCAATCGCCCGCGGCCTTCGCCACCGTGCCTATTCACGGACGTCCCGTTGCCCTCTCCTTCCCTCCCAGCCCCTCGTCCTGCTCCTCCTCCCCCGCGCCCTCGCTCGCCAGGCCAGCGTCCCCCACCCCCACACTCGTTTGCACCACCCTCGACGTCGCCCGCCGTCCCTCTGCGGCTGCAGCCAGCAAAGGCGCCCTCGCGCGCCCTTAGCCAACCAACCCAAACTTTGCCATCACCACACCATCGACAGCGACAACAACGACAACCAGCAAAAAAAAAGCCAAAACATGCATCTCCACCACCTCGCGCTCCTCGTCGCGCTCCCCGCCCTCCTCGTCCTCCTCGTCTCGGCCGAGCACGCAGAACACGCCAGCGCGAATGCGTCCCACCGCGCGCTCAAGCGCCGCATGATGCGCGCGAACAAGCTCCTCGCCTCCGCGCAGGGCCGCGATCTCGGCGGCGCCCTGGGCGACATCGGGAACGCCGTGGGCGACATCGGGCAGGGCCTCGGTAACGCCATAGGCGACATCGGCGGTGAGCGTCGTCGTCGTCCTCCTCCTCTCTCCTCCTCACCTCACCTCCTTACCTCCACCTCCATCATGACTGCCCTCCACCCGAGATGATCACGCCCGCTTTTTTATTATACATTTTTCGGGACGCAAGTACTGACGACGTCCTTTGTGTGTGTTTTTGTTTTTTTCTTCAGATGGCATAGGCGCGATCTTCAACCCGTCCGACTCGGCCTCGGCCTCCTCAAGCGCCTCGACGGACTCCGCGTCGGCCTCGTCTTCCGCGTCCGCGTCCGCGTCCTCCACGTCTTCAGCCTCGGATGGTACGACCACTTCCCCCTCCCTCTCCTCTTCCCTTTCCTCTGTGTTGTCTTCTTCGTCATCGTCGACGGCGTCTGTGGCCTCTGGCTCTGCGTCCACTTCGAGCGGTGCTTCCGCTACCGGTGTTTCTTCTACTCCTTCTGGGGACTCGAGCTCCGTCGTTTCTTCTGCGACCTCTGCCGAGGATTCGGGCTCCGTGACAGCGCCTTCTTCTTCGGCCACCTCTTCCGCGAGCGCCAGCTCTATAACGGCATCTTCATCGGCCACCTCTTCCGAGGATTCCGGCTCTATAACAGCTTCTTCTTCAGCGACCTCTTTCGAGAGTGCCAGCTCTATAACAGCTTCTTCTTCAGCGACCTCTACCGAGGATTCCAGCTCTATATCATCTTCTTCAGCGACCTCTACCGAGGAATCTAGCTTCACAACTAATCCTGCGACCTCATCCTCCCGCGAGGGATCCAGCGCTTCCACCTTCACTTCCGCGACCTCTCACGAGGCCCCGACGTCTTCCGTCGATCCTTCCTCTTCTTCTGCCTCATCCGAGGCCTCGTCTCCTCCTTCTCCTACTCCTACCCCTGATCCAACCAGTGCTGACGCGTCTTCTTCTTCCCCTTCTGCTTCCATCACCTCCTCCTCCCCGGCATCGACCTCTGCGTCTGCGGCGGATCCAGGTTCCTCGGCCTCCTCGTCTTCGGTCGCCGCGTCTTCGACCGCATCGGATGGTAGTACCTCTTCTTTCTCCTCCTCCTCCGCGGAGGTGTCCGGTTCCACGAGTGCTGACCCGACGTCTTCTCCCCCTTCTTCTGCTTCTCCCTCCCCGACCACCTCGGCGGATCCAGGTTCCTCCTCCTCCTCCTCCTCCGCCTCCGCCTCCTCGTCGGCGTCAGACTCGGCGACCGCAACCGCGACGGACGGTACGAGCTCGGCCCCGGCGCCTTCTTCATCCTCCTCCGCCTCCTCGCCTGTCTCTGACGCGACCCCTTCTTCTTCTTCTTCTTCTTTTTCCCCGACGGATCCAGGTACGACGACCGCGGCTGCGTCCGCGACGGACACCTCCACGGACGCGACCGTGACGGTCATCACCGGCACCTCGACCTTCACCGACACCTCGTCGCCCACCGATTCGGCCTCGTCCACGCCTACCGATTCGGCCTCGTCCACGCCCACGTCCACGGACGCGACGAGCAGCGGTCTCGGCATCTCGCTCTCGCTTCCGACGATCTCGCTCCCGACGATCTCGCTCCCGACGATCATCCCCTCGTTGACGGGCACGGCCAGCTCGAGCGCCGCGACCGACTCGTCCAGCTCGGCCGTCACCTCCGCCGCCTCCTTGACCGGCACGGACTCGACCGTCGTCGTCACCGTCAGCTCGACCGTCACCGACACCGACACCGGCTCGTCCTCGCCCACCAGCGTCAGCTCAAGCAGCAGCTCAAGCAGCAGCGGGATCTCGCTCCCGATCTCCGTTCCGGGCCTGTCCACGTCCATCTCGATCTCGATCCCGACGTCCCTCTCCATCTCGGACCCGTTCTCGATCTCGACCTCGGCCACGGACTCGGTCTCGGTCAGCGTGTCGAGCGTGCCGACGAGCATCTCCGGCGTGTCGACCGACATACCGACGACGGTCAGCGTGAGCGTCACGCTCTCGGGTTCCCAGAGCAGCGGCTCGACGTCCGTCTCCGCGTCCGTCACCGGCTCGGTCTCGGGCACCGACAGCGTCACGTCGTCGACTGCGAGCGGCTCCGACAGCGTCACGTCCTCGACCGTGAGCGGCTCCGACTCGGTCACGACCACCGTCTCCGGCTCCGACTCGATCACGACCTCGACGGGCAGCGCGGGCGTGACCACGATCACCAGCGGCTCGGAGACGCTCACGAGCACGAGCACGGTCAGCGGCTCCAACTCGGCCTCGGTCTCCGTCTCCGTCACCGACTCGGGCATCTCATCCTCCGTGACCGCGTCCGGCTCGACTTCGTCCACCGTCTCGATCGTCTTCCCGAGCGGCACCTCGTCCAGCGCGAGCGGCTCGGCCTCGATCTCGGGCTCGTCCTCCGTCTCCGGCTCGGACTCGCTCACCTCGTCCGGCGCGTCGGCCTCCGCCACGTCCTCGTCGTCCTCGTCCTCGGTCGAGACCGCGATCGCGTCCCAGTTCTCCTTCCTCACCGACACCTCCTCGCTCGTCCTCCAGTCCGTCCCGACGACGTCCTCGGCCGCGAGCACGCAGACCGACCCGGACGCGGCGCCGACGACGTCCTCCGTGTTCTCGTCCGTGCCCGCGACGGCGACGGTCTCGTCCGTCCCGCTCCCGAGCGGGCTCCCCGCGCGCATCGTCGCGGGCGACATCGACTTTACGGAGAAGCAGCTCGCGGGCAAGACGTTCATCAGCCTGCTGTTTGGACCCGGGTTGAGCTGGAATTGGGTCGCGAACCACGCGGACACGAGCGGCCAGATCTTGGCGTATACGCCGTTGGTGTTGCAGAACGCGCTTGGGCTCACGTGTACGTGCATCTCTCTTTTTATTATTATCAATTACCCTCTCCGTGGTACGAATGTGTGGCTGACGTCGGCCTCGTGTTTTCAGCGGACCAGATCCTCGAGTACGCGCTACAGGTCTACGTCCCGGCCTCGTACCAGTCCACGGCGGACGTCGATAAGCTGTTGACCATGTTCCTCGCGTACATCCCTAGCGACTCGGTCGACGACCTCGCGTCGCAGATCAAGGTCAAGACGAGCGCATTCTATACCGGCTCCACCGGCGTCGCGCAGCAGATCGCCACCCAGGTCGACAGCAGCTTCAGCGTCATGTCCGTCTCGGACCCGAACGCGGGCTCGGAGGGGAGCTCGTCGAGCTCCGGGACGTCGAGCTCCTCCGCGGACGACAAGGCGGGCGCGAGCAGCAGCAGCAGCAAGCGCCAGGACGCGATCATCGGCGTCGTGTCGTCCCTCGGCGGCGTCACGCTCATCGTGCTCGCCCTGCTCGTGTTCCGCTCGCTCAAGCGCCGCCGCGAGCTCGCGCACCAGCAGCTCGGCGAGGAGCCGTCGGACACGTACGTCGGCGCGCGCCCGGAGGGTCAGGAGTTTGATCGCGATTCGGTTGGCGGGCAGCGCAGGCGGTCGTTCTACTTTGCGGAAGACTCGCTCAGGGGATTCGACGGGCAGCATTCGCCGCAGGCGGGCAGCGCGAGCCCGGGCGGGATGCGCCAGCGGATGGGCGCCGGCGCGGTGTCGGCGCCGATCTTGAGGGAGAACACGATGAACTTCTGAGCCCCGATTGATCCCTCGCTCACGACCCCCCCCCCCCCCTGCGATGACCAGACACGAATGACCACCCCGACCCGGAAGCAAAGAAAGGAATACTGTCTCTCTCTCTGTACGACGA